CCAATGAAAAGGTGTCAAACTAACAACCATAGAGCACCCAACAATCCCAAAACACCCCCCGAACTCTGACTAAAAGAAGTAGACTGAAGAAAAAAGAATTATGTGCTCATTTGGGCAAGAACCCACATCGGAAAATCTAAAAACAACTTGGTAAAATAGGGGCTTGCCAGGAATGCAGGACCAAATCCAGAACATGGACCATCTTTCAACTTCCTGCACCTGAAGTCTGGTCCATGGAACATCTGCAGATCTCTGTCAGGTCGATGACAGGGCAAAAGCATGACGGTCTTTCTGGTGTGGCACGATATGATGACACACAGGCACAAAACACCCTGCCATAACTCTGGCTGAGGTCAGAATACTTTTATTGGTAAAGTTTATAGAAACTGGCTGTTTCTTGGCACGAACCATGTTTTTAAGATGAAATTAAGTTTTCAATAGGATTGAGGTCAGAGCTTTGGGACTGCCATTTTTGATACTTATTGTTCATCCAATCAGAACCCAGTGTTCCTGGGTTTGGATCTCTGTCCTGTTGGAACACCCATCAGTGGCCAGGTTTCAACCATCCAGCTGTTGATCTGAGGTGAAGTTGGAGAATTTGTAGGCAGACCTCCTCCTCCTCCACATCATGATGCTACCACTGCCATACCTGACAATTAGTTCATTGTTCTTAGGTGTAAATACTTCTCCTTATCGCCTCTGAGCCTACTTCCTGCTAACAAATAGCTCAATCTTTATCTTGTCTGACTATTAAACTTTTCTGCAGAAAACATCTGGCTCCTCCATGTGGGCAGCTGCAGCTTTCAGCTGAGCCTGAAGGTGTTGCTTTTGGAACAGGAGCTTCTTTCTTGGTCATCGGCCTCTCAGACCATGGAGATGTAAAACTCGCTTCATGGTGCACAGGCACATGGGGGTTCCAGCAGCTTTCTGTTCTTATCTTGATTGAAACTTGGTGTGTTCTGGGTCGTCCCTGAACACCTTTAACCCATTTCTTTTCACCTGAGTGTGACAGGTGAGGACTGTTAGAAAAACTGATTGTAGCACAAGATTAGAACAATCCTCAGTGAATTCAAGGTAGAACATTAAATTCTTGTGTTTAAAAAAAAAAAAACTTTGAACTTGTAAATTGTCATTCCAGTCCTCAAAATGAATGAAACACTCATGCCAAGGATAAGTGGATATCTTTAACTGTAACTGTAAAAGTTGAAACACATTTTTCTGTTAAAAATAAATCTGGAACCACAGAGGCAGAGGGTGAAGATCCTTAGAAAGATTTCCCATGACGTTAACTTGGGATAACACCTTATAATCTTGAACTACCAGCACTTAATTCCTCGAGATAATATGTTATTTACCTTTTCTTACCTTAGAATGACAGAAGTTGTTTTCTCCAGATCAACAGTTATTTATTTTGACTTAGAAACTCATTTTCTTGTGATAATAAATTATTTTAAAATCAGAAATGAAGTAGTTAATTAGAAATAGCTGACCCAGCTGTTCAGATAGTTATATCTTCATTAGACTTATTTTATCTCTGGTAAAATACATTTATTAATCAATTTCATTTCCAAATATGCAACCACAGTTCCCTTGGTTGGTGTTATGATCTAGGTTGGAAATGATATGTATAATAATGCAGCTCTCTTTGGGATGTTTAGTGTATGATTTTATGTTAAAATTACTGGAAAGCTCATTAAAATGATTTAATTTCATGAAAAATTTCAGAGTTTGATTAAAAACAAAACTGTCGGAGCAAAACACCAGGAGCATCTTCCTCCAAATCTCTGCTTTTGAAATGCGTTGAGACTTTGTGGTTACAGCATCAAAGCAAAGAGAAGCTGGCCTGCAGCAAGTCTGTGCTCACAATAATTGGAGCTTATAGAGGTTTTCTTGCTTTGAACTTATATATCTCTACTGGTCTTTGACATCTTTGTTCTAAGGAAGATCCCCATGAGTCAGATCCAGCTGCTTCTCATCAGAAAAAAATACGAACACGTTTTGTCATAATGAGGTTTTCATGATATGATAATGAAGTTGAACTCTTTCAGGGTGGAAGATGGACTCCACGAGGGCCAATTGTGTTTGAGGCCATGGTCTCAGATGGGAAAGTGTGGACTGTCCTCTATGGGTTGGGAGTGCGGAGCTGCCTCAAGTAGAGGAGTTCAAGTATCAGGGTTTTGTTCATGAGCGAGGGAAGAATGGAGTGTGACATCGACAGGTGCAGCTTCTGCAGTATTGTGTCTCTGTGCAGGTCTGTTGTGGAGAAGTGGGAGCCAAGCTGCAAGGAGAAGCTCTTTGTTTACCAGTAGATCTATGTTCTTACCCTCACCTATGTCCATGAACTCTGGACAGTGACTGAAAGACCAATGTTGCAGATACAGGCTGTCTCAATAAGTATTCTCTGCAGGGTAGATGGAGTCTATACAGTGATAGGGTGAGAAGTTCAGTTACCAAGGAGAGACTTAGTGCAGCGCTGCTGCTCCTCCACATCCAGAGGAGTCAGCTGAGGTGGTTAAGGCCTCTTATAAGGAAAAGACCAAGAAGAGACCCTGGAGAAGACCCAGGACATGCCAAAGATACTCAAGGGCCCAGCAAACTTCATTTGAAGCCAAACAGTCAATTTGCAGTCACTTGGTTGTGGGATGTTGGTTTTCACAATCACCGTTCAAAGTCCACGAGACGCATGGTGCCCATCCAGGAGGTTTTGGCCCATTTGACTAATTTGGCAGTTGGACAGTCATCCAGCTGTATATCCGAGCACATTTCCACATTGACAAACATGCCCACAAACTTCTGATCAATCACACAATCCTTGGCACGTACGCCTGTGAGATAAAGTTGGACCCGGGCCTTGTGTCGAGAAGGGGAAAGGGAAGCGGCTCTAAGATCAAAATTAAATGATTTTCATCACACAACTACATCAATGAGAGCCAGTTTTGTCACTTTGGAAGGAGTATGCAGAGCCCTTAAGTTTCTCTGCTGGTCAAGGGACACCTTGGAGTCTTGCCAGAAGAGTTGGAAGAGGGTGACTGTGGAAAGAGATGTGTGGACCTCCCTGCTCAAGTTGCTGCCCCCAAGAGCCAACATTGTCTGGATGGATGGAGGGATGGATGAAGGGATGGAGGGATGGATGGATGGAAGAAGGGATGGATGGATGAAGAGATGGAGGGAAGGATGGATGGATGATGTATGAGTAGATGGATGGATAAAGGGGTGAAAATGAAGAGATGAGGGAGGGATGGATAGATGAATGGATGATGGAAGGAGGGGTAGATAGAGGGATGAATGATGGATGGATGGATGGATTGATGCATGGATGAATGAATGGATGGATGGATGGATTGTTTACTAACTACTATTAATGTTCATCAAGTCATGTTCTCATGCTTCCAAGTTGAATGTTTGCCTGAAACGTTGCAGATCAGAACCTGCTTGAAGGTACAGTGTCACCTCACAGCTAAAAGTCTGCAGCTTTAAATCTCTTCCCCTGGATTTCTCTGTATATTTGTGGATTTTCTGTGGCCATCTTCCAAGAACTTGCCTGTTAGTGTTCACTGGAGTTTCTAAATAACTTCAGGAGAAATGACGAGTGTGCACGTTGTTTGTCAAACACGTTTGGATGTTGAACATGAGATGGACTGCCTAGCCTTAAAATGCATTTTTATTTCACACCATTTATTTTCAGGTTCAAAAATAATTCAATCATTCATAATAACCTTCTCCAGCTAATTGTTTATGATTATACACAGTCTGAAATTTGATGTTTAGATGTGCAAATAAGCACATCTAATTAAACTTGATTAAACTTGACTTGTGATTTACACAATCATTTAATAGAAAGAGTAAAATAAAAGTCTAAATGTGAGATTTGAACCATTTGCTACTTGTTTTGAGATGTTTAAACAAACATTTTATTCAATCTGTCTCAAAGTAGGAAATACAGTATATATATATATATATATATATATATATATATATATATATCAGCTACTACCACAGTAAATCTGACCTCAATTTCTTTAAAAATTATTTTAGTTCTATCAGCTGTTGCAGTCATCTTAAATCAAGTTCACTTTGAAATTTGGTGTAAATCTAAATATTATATTTTTAGTTTTGTGAAAATTTGTCCACTGGTTCATGAAATATTTAGCTAACAGAGGGACAGAGTTTACCCCAACACTTAATACCAAATATGTCACATTGCTTGTAAAATGTGTTGGAAATGACTCTCAGCAACTACCACACCAAATTTCAGCTCAGTACCTATAAAGATGACAGAGATATACAGTAGCTGTAGAGTAGATGTTTTTATGTTTGCTATAGTTGATTAGCTGTGACAGCCATTTAAAAACATGTTGAATCTGAAGGGTAATGAACTACCAATGAAGAGCTGAATTAAAATTTGTTCGCTGGCTCATGGAATATTTTGCTAACACAGGGGAAGAAGCACAAAGACACACAAACGCGAATGCCCGCCATTTACATAGCTGGCTTGCAAATGAACAAGCAGTATGCCAATGTCCCCCATCACTGACGGATTTGAATAGTGAATGTTTGTAGTTTTCCAGATGAGTGTTTTTCTGTACTGGTATTGAACAGCGATTGAAACCTTAATGTTTTTGGTGAAAGATGTTCATGTGGGTAGGAGTTACACTGTGGAGAAGAACAGAGGGATTTTTTTTTTATTTTATTATTTGCTTGCTTGCAGAGTGATGATTCCTTGTAAGCAGAGAGAGCCATTTTATCCACCACCAGGAGCAATGGCAGACCCAGGGGGTGGCCAATGGTGGCAGCCATCTTGAATTTTGATGTGAGAAGTTCTGGGAACACAATTTTTGATAGTGATTTTAGATGCAGCCATACCGATATAGACATTGACACATTGCCCTTTTGTCAAGTTATCAAGCTCACAAGGTTTACATATATACATATATGGTGGTGGCCATCTTGGATTTTAACATTACAACTCAAGTTTCACAAGAAACCTTTATTAGGCCTAGATGCAGCAACACAATAAAATGAAAGTTGGTACCTCATTTATTTTTAAAGTTATCTAACTCCCAAGATGGATGGAGGGTATTTCCAAATTCCCTCTTTGTTCCTCTATGAGAAACAACAGTCAAGGCTTTTTACTTATTGAAACGTTTCGTCTTTCATCCAGAAGATTTCATCAGTCCGAGGAGCCACAACAAACTCAGTCTTATAAGTAGAAACACCCCCATAGTGGGACAACCAGTTTGATTTGAATGTGTTAGTCCTGTTCAGTGTTGCTGCAGCTGCTTATATTTGTCAAGGGAAAGGTGAGGAACACTTTGGACAGGTCATCAGTCCATCACAGGGTCACACAGAAACATACAAATCAGACAAACATTTACCAAAACTTACCAGACTTCATTAGTAAAGAACATTTCATGAACAAAGCTCACAAAGATACAGTCCGTACAAAGGACAATAACTTAAAACATGAAAGAACAATGTTTTAATATACACATTCATACAGATAAGCATATTCATACACAGAATCACAAATGTGTAATTAAAGAAGCTTATATGCTTTGGGAGGTAATGAATGTTTTAAATTCATTTTTCAAACCAATCACAGCAGTAGCTTATCTCACAACCAGAGGAAGTGCATTTTATTTTAAAGGAGCAAAAGCACTGAAGACAGCTTTAACATTCACCTTTTTGTTTCAACATTTGACCCTATAAAGTCAACAAAATGCAAAATAAATATAAAGATAACTTATTTTGCATGTGCCACTGTAAAGTATCACCTAAAGGAGTTGGTAAATAAATAAATAAAACATGTAAAATGTTAGAATTTGTTCACCTGTGATGTTCCCCTGTCTGTGCATAGCAAGACACATTAGTATATTTTTATTTCTTGCCCTCAGCAAACCTGAACTCCACTGTCATCCTCTATTCTTAAAGTGGACATTTTGTTTCTAGCCTCCAGTTATGACTCTCCTCTTTCACAAAAAAAGACGGGGAACAAGAGAAACGGGAGCGATCACCTCCAGCAGTTGTCAAAACAAGTCAGAAAGCAGTGCACGACTTGCACACGTGGCCGTATGCAAACATCTCCTGCCTGAGTAGAAGCAGATTTACAGAAATGATTTTGTTTCTCTCCGTGATGTGCGTAAGGTTTGTTTAGGATGGCTGTCCGTGTGCATGTATCCGTGCACGTCTGAAGTGAAGCTACGTTCCTCTCAGGATGCTGTAGATGAAGCGTGACTGTGCAGATGTGGTGTGATGTTGTATCATTTTGCCAATTAGAGAGATGTGTTGCTGGGTGAAATCCCATTAGAGTTTCCTGTCAGCGCATCACAGTGTTGACATGATGTGCATGTTGTTCTAATTTGGTAGGTAAAAACGGTTTAAAAAAAAATGATATGGTCGGATATTTCTCTGGATGATTCCTTTTTAAAGCTACCCTGGTTTCACATGCCGCTCTGAGACTCTGATGTCTAATTATTACCATTGTGTCCTTTTTCTGCTCTGCAGGACAGGGAGCTGATGCCAGGGGAGATAGATGGTAAGATGTTTGGATGGAGCAATACAACATGTATGTTACATTTAACTTGTCAAAAGATATATGTTTTTAGTTGTATCAGTATTTTAAACTTCCTTTTAAGTTTCTGCTCTTGTTATTTCAAGTAGGACACTGGAGGATTCTCAGACTTGAACCTTGATCGACCTCACTTTAGAGAAATAAGCCCTGTTCAGATCTGGCAATATACAATATATCCATTTTGAGGAATTTATCTGCAATTGGAAAGTTCTGATTGAGAGCATTCACAGCTGACAGTTATTTTGTACCCCTAAATGTTTTTGCAATCGAATGACTAAAGTAGCCCGCTCAGTATGCAGGTACACACACTTTGCTGTCAGCTGAGCAAACACATTTTCTGGCAGCAACAAATCTCTAAAAGGTGGAGCAGGGCCCTGTTTGCCACTCTGAAGCAGCCCCTCTTTAAAAAATACAAACTGTAAATTTCTACGCACTGAGACCAGTTTCTGGAAGTTTTCAAGGGAACAAAATCTTGTCTGATAGTATTCTAGATGTTCAACCGTCTGCCAGATTTCAGGCTGGATGGGAGCATGTGTCTTCCTAAAACCTGTATATACTTTTAGTGTTGATGCTGCTTTTACCAATGTCAAGCTGCCCATGCCATTAGCACAAATGCACCCCCATACCATCAGAGAGCTCAGCTTTTGAACTGCATTCATAACAAGCCCTCTCCTCTTTAGAATGGTGGTCATGTCATCTGTAATTTTCAAAAATAATATAACATTTCTATTTCACTGTGGTTCTCTTTAACCAGCCTGCAGCTGAAGCATCTTTTTACCCCATGACCTCCAGATTATAACTCTTACAGTGGGGCACGGAACATATTATGTTCAGATTATTAAACAGACCGTGAAAACATTAATTCAGCCTTTATTTATACAGCTCAGTCTCACTGAGTCACATGACTCATTTTCAAGAGACCTGTTTTAGACAGATAACATCCATCCATCCATTATCTTTACCCATCCATCCATCCATCCATCCATTTTCTTTACCCGTTTATTCCATTTTGGGTCACGGGGGTCGCCGGTGCCCATGTCCAACCATCACTATGCGAGAGGCGGGGTACACCCTGGATAGGTCTCCAGTCCATCACAGGGACACATGGAGACAAACAACCATTCAGTCTCTCACTCACACCTAGGGACAATTTAGAGTTACCAATCAGCCTAACATGCATGTTTTTGGTCTGTGGGAGGAAACTGGAGTACCTGGAGAAAACCCACACAGCACAGAGAGAACATGCAAACTCCACCCAGAAATGCCCCATGTCAGGATTTGAACCGGATGATCTGCTCGCTGAGAGGCGGCAGCTCTACCAACTGTGCCACCGTGCTGCCTCAGATAACATAAAGTACAAAAAGTTGAGACCACCTCTGAAGGTGTTGAGTGAAAATGTTTTTACTAAACATTAAGGCTGTCCAGGTCTGTATTCAGTGTTATCTGAATGCTGTCTGATGGCCTGGGATGGATTTTAGCTCTTGGTTCTGACAGGTTCTGACCCAACTGATGGCTAATGGTTAGTCTGAGCAGAGCCACAACAACAAATGTCACCACCATCAGTTTTACATTATATGGTTATTCTGTCTGAAATATTGGGTTCCATCAGGAAGTGCTCTGCCTTTATTTCAGCTTAAAAATACAACAACAAAAAATACTGTAAAAAAAAATTGGTACTAATGTAAAAGTTTATAAACTAGTATTGATCTACGATTACATTTTTGAGATTTCCCTTTTTTGGTGTAGCAGCAATTGACTTTGATCTTAACCTTTAACTCGTCAATATGGTCAGAAATAAACTTTCTTTCTCCAAACTGAGAACATTCAAGGGACCTCCTCCACCTCACCCTCTGTCACACTGACACTCTGCACGTCCTTCGCCACAGCTGTGTTCCTCCTCCTTACCTCCTCCTTAGCAACTCCATATTCAGCATCCTGTGCCCATTACACCCAGTCTCCCTCCTCTGTTCACGTCTCTTTGTTGGTGCCATCATCTCCAATGCAAACATCATAGCAACATTCAAAGATTCAATAGATAACATTTTCTTATAGATTTTCCACAGATTGCCGCTTCAAAATATCTTAACTACTGCGTTAAAATCTTTTGACAATGTCACAAGCTATGAAGACAAAACAAAAAGAAAACTATAGAAAGCACAGCTTGAAGTTTAGAGGTGTTAATGTCACATTTGTTTATAGAACTCAACAGAACGGTGTCAGACATTTCCTGGAGTCAACAACTAACAGATTTTTTTTTTACAGTATGCAGTTATTAAAATTAGCATTAACCATTTGTGTGTGTGTTCGACTCAAGGTAACTTTATGGTTTGTTGCGGTAGTATACCGGTAATTTGTTTTCTGTCTCTGTCAGAGCTGCAGGAGGCCTTTAAGGAATTTGACTATGATGCAGATGGATTCATTCATTACAAAGACATCGCAGACTGCATGAGGACCATGGGCTACATGCCCACAGAGATGGAGCTCATTGAGATCATCCAACAAATCAAGATGAAATGTTAGTATTTAGCTGTCAGGCAGAAGGTTTGTATTCTTCCTCCTTTAGGTTATGGGTGCATGACTGATGGGTCTTTCTAAAACGAGCAGGTTTTCTGTGCGCTGCATGAACCCATGTGACTGAGCTATTTTCTGCAAGCTCACAATGTTCTGAGGTTAGCCTTTGGACTTTGGAACAGCCAAGATGTTTTAGCATGTTGATTAATGAACCTCAGGCTGCAGGTGCTGGAGTGTATGCATGCTACATTGTGTATATGTGTGGGTTTTACACTTACCTTTCCTTTGCTATTTATGTTGTAACTGTCTCTGATTTTCTTTCTGAATGATTAATTACAGAGATGGGTGTGTGATTAGAATCTCAACTTTAAGGTGAATCAATAATGCAACTAAAACCAGGATTCATGCCACCTGCCTGAAGGGCCAGAACCTGCACTATCTATTTCATGTTTAAATAAGGCCAATACTTTACATAAACCTGCTGTGAACAGATTAGACTCAGACAAGAAGAGCAATATTTGATATTTTTTATTTTATTTATTAAAAACGTCAGTCTAAACTGAGAAACCAATGACCATCATCGTTTTTTTATTATAGACTCAAATACATGCCTAAGAGTATGAGTAAAATATACAAAATCAGTTGTGCAAGAAGCAAAAGTTTAAAACTTGTTATGTGGGCCAGAAGAGGGCCAGCAATGGAGGAGGGGGCGTGACAACGACACCATCTTAGCACCAACATAACTGGTTTGTTCCACTTTGGAGTAAGCTGTTGGGGGAAGAATCAGTTTTGTGTTGTGTGTTTCTTTGACTGATGAAGCCTTCCAAATCGAAGGTGAAACGTTTCAGCACAAAAAAAGAAACTGTCCAGATGATCTGACTGAAAAATGTTGGGTTTAAAACTTCTTCTTTAAAAAAATAAATAAATGAAAAGACAGTTTATCATCAGCTTAAGGAAAACATCTATATAAAGACTAAGGGTGGAAAATAGTGACAGGCTGGAATGCTCATGTTAGATTATGGGAAACTGATGGCAACCTGTCTACTTAAAGGTAAATCTTCACACTTTTTACACCCTCCTGTCTTCAGGTATACTCCCCACGAGTCAGGGATTTAGTGGACCAAACCAAAGTCAGGCTGATAGGGGTGGAGGTGGGGGGTTGGGACATCCATCCACCCATCCATTATCTTCTACTTATTATCTTCCTACTCGAAGCTTGACCAAGGAGGTTCAGACATCTCTTTCCAGAATTATCTCTTCCACATGGGAGGATTCCATGGTATTCCCTGGTAAAATGAGAGACATCCAATGTGTCCTGGGTCTTTCTCGGTGTCTCCATCCAGTCGAACGGCACCAAACCACCTCCCTAGGGAGGTACCATGGGACTGTGCATACCAGATGCCCGAATCACCTCAACTGGCTCCTCTTGATGTGGAGTAGCAATGGTTCTACTCCAAGTCTCTTCCTGGTAACTGAACTTCTCTGGCTGTCTCTAAGGGAGAGTCCAGCTATCCTGCAGTGGAAACTCATTTTAACTGCTTGTATCTGCAATCTCATTCTTTCTGTAACTACCCATAGCTCATGGCCATAGATTAGGGTAGGAACGTAGGCCGACCGATAAACTGAGAGCTTCGCCTTATAGCTCAGCTCTCTGTTTACCAAAACAGACTGGCACAGAGTCTGCAATACTGCAGATGCTCCACCAGTCTGTCTGTCAATCTCACACTCCATCCTTCCCTCACTCGTGAACAAATCCCCAAGATACTTGAACTCCTCCACTTGAGGCAGAACCTTACTCTTAACCCGAAGAGAGCAATCCACCCTTTTCCAACTGAGGACCATGGCCTCAGATTTGGAGGTGCTGATCATCATCCCAGCCACTTCAAACTTGGCTGTGAACCACTCCAGGGAGAGCTTAAGATCATGGCATGATGATGCCAACAGGACCACATCATCCGTAAATAGAGAAGGAATCCTAAGGCCACCGAACCAGACTCCCTCCACCCCTTGCCTGCTCCGAGAAATTCTGTCCATGAAAGTTATGAACAGAATTGGTGACAACGGGCAGCCCTGATGGAGTCTGACTTACTGCCAGCAATGTGAACCAAGCTCTTGCATCACTTGTATAGAGACTGAACAGCCCATAGCAACGGACCCCCAATCCCATGCTCACGGACCACCCCCCCCCACAGTGTACCTTGAGGAACAAAGTCAAATGCCTTCTCCACATCCACAAAACACAAGTAGACTAGATGTGCAAACTCCCATGACTCCTTGAGAACCCTAGTGAGGGTAAAGAGCTTGTCTGGTGTTCCATGGCCAGGACAGAGCCCGCATTGTTTCTCCTGGATCTGAGGTTCAACTGATGATCAGACTCACTTCTCCAGTACCCCTGAATAGACCTTACCAGGGATGCTAAGGAAAATGATGCCCTTATAATTGGAGGACACCCTACTATTCCCCTTTTTGAAGAGTGGAACTTCCATCCCAGTCTGTCAATCCAGTGGCACTGCCCTATATGTCCATGCGATGTTGCAAAAGCATGTCAACCAAGACAGCTTCACAGCATTCAGAGCCTGAAAGACATCAGGGTGGATCTCATCCGCCCCTGCATCCCTTCTGCTATGGAGCTGTTTAACTACCTCGGCAATCTCAACTACGGTTATGGACAGACCAACCCCAAAGTCCCCCGACTCAGCTTCCTCCATGGAAGATTTGCCGGTGGGATTGAGAATACCTTTTTTAAGATGGATAAAAATTTTATATAGAGTACCAGTAGTGACAGTTTTAACAAACGGTATAGCATCAAAATCTTTGACTCTGGAAGAGGATGCAGACAAGGCTGCCACTAATTGCCACTCCTATTTGCCACAGCTATTGAACCCTTGACAGCTGCCTTACACATCAATCAAGGTATTAAGGGAATTCAAATTGACAAGTAAAAATTTAAAATATTAATATATGCTGATGATTTATTAGTATATGTCTAACACAAAAAACTCAATACTTCACCTGATGTTGCTTTTGGAAGAATATAGTAAATTATCAGGGTATAAAATTAATTATAGAAAAAATGAAATTATGCCTCTAAATAAACTGCTATGACTCAGTTACCTCATGTGTCATGTTTTAAATGGAGTCCTAATGGATTTCGATATTTAGGTATTAATATATGCAATGACTTCATTCAAACTGAATTACCTTCCATTAATTGATAACTTTAAAACAGATACCGGTATATATAAATGGAAGAACCTGCCAGTCCCCCTTATTGGAAGAGTAAATCTGGATAAGATGTGTGTTTTCCCAAGGTTTATTTCTCTTTTTCAGACTCTCCCAATAAAGTGTCTAGCCTTATTCTTTTAGACAATTAATGCACTAATATTGAAATTTAAATGGCCATTTAACATGTTTTGATATCAAAACTAAAAGCTCCTCTAGAGAAGGGAGGTATAAAGTGCCCTGATTTTTAACTTCATTGTAATGTAGCACAATCAAGAAATATTTAGATGTGGTCACATAATTGTGATTGATACATCCTATCTTGGATAAACATTGAAAAATATTTGTACCTTCCATCCATCTGTGCATCCGTTACCTTCTCCATTGTTGGGTCACAGGGTCACTGGTGCCCATATCCATCAGTCAGTGTGTGAGAGGCGGGGTACACCATGGACAGGTATCCAGTCCATCACAAGGACACATAGAGACAAACATGACAAACAACCATTCACTCACTCAGACCTAGGGACAATTTAGAGTTACCAATCAGTCTAACATGCATGTTTTTGGTCTGTGGGAGGAATCTGGAGTATGCAGAGAATACCCACAAATGCACAAAGAGAACTTGCAAACTCCACCCAGAAAGACCCCCGGCATGAATTCGATCCAATGACCTTCTTGGTGAGAGGCAACAGCTCTAACAACTGAGCCACCGTGCTGCCCTTTGTGCCATTCAGTAACTCTAAAAGATTTTAAATACTTTGTCGCTTGAAAAGACCTAGAAGGGATTGTCAATAACTCAGTTTTAGATCACACATTGAGTTGTTGGCAGAACTGTCATAAAAGTATAGGATTAAATGACCGACTATATCACAATACCCCATTATACAATAACCCATCTTTACGCTCTGGTTTT